AACTGGCTAGACATTTGAGCCTGAATGACCCATGAGCCATATTTCCTATAGCATGATGCTGTTGGCTAGTTTTGGCACCTCTGTCAGCCAGAATACAGAACAACCACCACGATCTGTGTCCTGGTCACTGTGAACCCCACTCTATTCCTTATTTCTAACTGACCCTAGGTGGTCTACCTCTCCCAGTACTCTCAGTGCTTCCTATGGGGAAGAGACAAGATCGAGCCTCTTGTCTAGGGAACTACAATGTTGGTGTAGAGTCTTTGGGAGGTAATTAGGTTTAGATATATTTATGAGGGTGAGCCCCTGCGATGAGATTAGTGTTCTTATAAGAAAAGGAAGAGACCAGTGACCTTCCTTTTTCTTCTTGTATACACAAAGAAGAGGTCATATTAGCACATGACAAGATGGTGGCTGCCTACAACCCAGAAAGGAGCTATACTAGAACTCAACTATGTTGTCACCCTGATAGTGGACTTCCAGTTTCCACAGCTGTTAGAAAATGAACCTCTATTGTTTAAGCCACCTAGTCCCTGTTTTTATGCTATTGGAGCCCAAACTGATTAAGACAAATATGTTTCCCACATCTAATTATACCTCCATGTCAGTGCCCACTGTGGCACCCCATCACCACATGAATAAAAACAGCCGGGACATGGATTTTTTTTTCTTTTATGAAGTCATATACACATAGATCATGAATACATTTATGCCTTTGTGGGGTTCAATCTGTTGTTTTTTTGTACAAATTGGAGTGCTTATATCCAACTAATTAACATAATTTTCACGTCATTTACTTAATATGTTAAGACATTTATGTTCTATACTTGATAGATTTGACTTGTACCCTTGCAATATGCTCCATAGATGTGGTCCCACCATTTACTCTCCCTCTATCAAACCACCCCCTCCCCTCCCATCCCCATCTCTTTCCCTCCTTTATCCTGGGCTATAGTTGTGATTTATCTTTCATATGAAAGTGTGAGTGATTATAAATTGGTTTCATAATAGTACTGAGTACATTGGATTTTTTTTTCCATTCTTGAGATATTTTACTAAGAAGAATATTTTCCAGCTCCATCCATGTAAACATAAAAGAGATAAAGTCTCCATCTTTTTTTAAAGCTGCATAATATTCCATGGTATACATATACCACAATTTATTATGGTTGATGGGCACTTGGGCTTCTTCCATGACTGGGACATGGATTGAAGGTACATGCCTGCAAGAGGTAGGCTTCCTGTCTGTCCTCCAAGAGCCCCGAGAAACCTCTCCCTTGGCCTTTTGTTGAAGCCTCAGACCACAGAAATGGGGGCCCATGTGCTAAGATCACATGTTTAATGTGATTGCTAAGTTGCTAAGTGCTCTTTCCTCCAGGGCCCAACTCCCATCCTGCTGCTCTAGGAATGTTACAAAGTATAACACTTGCTTGCTAATGAGTTACTGATTTTATCTCATTAATGCATGCAGCTGCTTGAGGGCTTGTCTCCAGGCTGCAAAACTTCTCCAGGCCAGCTAGGAGATTGTCTCTCTTCCAGCGCCTTCTTCAAGAGCTGGTGACTGCTTCTATAAGCCTGGTGCTTAGTCTCCTACACCTCCATTTTATAAGTCAAATCTAATGGCCCATAAAGCCTTCAGATTATTAAAGAATTAAAAAAATTAGTTACAAATAATTTAAAACATAAATAAGGAAATAATTTTTGACATATATTTACCTTCTAAAAATTATTTTTTTTACCTTATTGTGTAACTTCTTTCTTAAAAAATATTTACAAAGTGGTATTATAGATACCAATCAAGTATTATCCCCACTCTATTCCCACTTTGTCCTCCTTCTTTAAGGAACTTTTCCCCTGAATTTGATGTGAATAATCTTTAAATATATTTGTATTTTAGTGGAATAGTTCTCAAACTTTTGGTTTCAGGATGCATTTATCCTCTTAAAATTTTCAGGGATCCAAAGAACTTTGCTTATGTGGATTGTATGTATTAATATTCCCATATTAGAAAAAGATTTTAAGGTATTTATTTGTTAATTCATTAAAAACAATACCACACCAGTTACATATTGTGGTAAATATAATTCAAATAAAAATAGCTATATATTTCAAAACAAACAAAAATTTAGTGATAAGAATGGGATTGTTTTACTTTTTTTGGAACTTTTTAAGGTCATGCTTAGTAGAATATACTGGTTTCTCATATGTACTTCTGCATTTATTTTATAGTAATGTTATTTTGTTTATCTTGTCATGTTTTGTTATTTATTTTGGTTGAACTAAATGAAGAAAATCAGCCTTATGCAAATACATAATTGCAAAAAGGAGAGATAATTTAATAGCCTTTCCAGTTAAAATTCTTTGATACTACATTAAAACTTGATAAGTGGTAATTTCTCAAAAGTTAGTATCATTCTTCTTAGTAAAGTATATCAAGAATGGAAAAAAAGTATCCAATGTACTCAATACTACTATGAAATCAATATATAATCACCCATACACTCATATGAATGGCAAAACATAACTATAGTCCAGAAAGTAGAAGGAAAGAGGAGAGAGGAGGGGAGGGGGATATGGGAGGAGGGAGGGTATTTGGAGGGACCTCACCTAATGTGCATGATACAATTGTACATTTTAAAAATATTAAGAAATGAGCATAATTGTGATGGATGTGTTAGTTCAATGTAAGCATTTCACATTGTATATCAAAGCATATACATTTGCTTTGTATATACCTGAACCCCATAAATGCATCAATGTACAAAGTTATGATTTAGTAAAAACTAATAATAAAAAAGTTAGTCTCAATGTAGAATCTGATAGAATATCATTAAACTTTTTATTCCTTATGACATTAAGATCCATTGGCTTATGTTGCATTTTAAATTAATCTTTGACATGTGTGACTTTTTCACATAATGCATTGGTCGTTTCGGAAATATCAACACACTGGGTTATGCAGATCTTCTAAACATTGATGCATTTCATATATATAAACCACAGCTGTGAACATAGCTACTGATCTCATCAGAAAACTCTTTAAGTATTTAAAACTGTTAAACTCACCATGATGAGTAATTTTCCAGAGGTGTAATGTTTACTTGAAAGGTCAGATATTTATTACTGGAAGGCAATGCTTGAAGTTTTCTTTTTCTTTTATTTTTTCTGATTTGGACATAAAATATTTTATTTATTTTTTCCCTTTTTTATTGTATGTATTGTATATTCCACATATATATATCCAAATATATGTATGTGGAATATTTTAAACCATTCCTTCAATTCTTCTAACAACCATATGATTATTCAGTTTTTACATTTCTTCTTGAGTAGGTCACATTTTTCTGGAGATTCATTCATTTTGTCCAAATATTCAGTATTTTGGGGATGTAGATATTGATAATATTTTCTCTTAATCATTCTAATATTGACCATATCTTTGGTTTCACCCTTCTTTTCCCTACTCTTATGTTTACTTGTGTCTTCTCTCTTCTTTCCTTGATCAATATCCCACATGTTTTTCTACTTTATTTTTTTGATCTCTTCCATTATATTTTTGTTTTATATTTCGTTGAGTTCTACTCGCATTTCATATCTCTTTTCTTCTGTGTTCCCTGGGATCTCCAAATTGTTCATTTGTTTCAGAATCCTCCCCTTCTACTGCCTTTACTACCCCACCTATTTACAAACATGTGTTGATATGCTTGAGGGTTTTGTTTTGAGGGGTTGAAAGGGTAGTTGCAAGAAGAGATGTGAGTTAAGGAACTACAGAAATAAGGGATAGATGGGCGTCCCAAGAGCAAAGTTCGATTTCTTATGAGAAAAAAGAACGCTGGAAAAAGGGAAGAGACTATTGCTTTGAGGCCTGTGGATCAAACCAGCCAGAACAAAAGAGAGGAATCTTCTTGCCCTTTTTACATGAATCACGGGGCTGTACTCAGAGGGACTATGGATCAGCATTGAAGCAGAGTATGTTTTGCTTGACAGAACATGGGGGAAGGGACAGCCTCACTCAGGACATCTGCAATAGGGATAGTGCAAACTGTCTTCTTTAAATAGCTTAAGGGTAGCAGGCTTCTTAGAAAAGCTGGTGCTCTGAAACATAAGTGAATGTGTGCTAGAGAACATGAGAGACCCCCTTAGGCTATCACTGGGCATATCTAGATAAGGCTGAGAATGTGGTCCTATGATCACGCAAGTTTAAGTATTTAACCCTGCAAAATATCTTAGACTAAGTTTTAAAATGTTCTTCTTAGCAAAGTATCACAGGAATGGA